AACGCAACCAGAGAGAGAGCCAGGACTTGGCCCCATGTCTCCCAGTGTGTGGGAAGGTCCATGCTACACAGCAGGTGGCTTTGCAGTCAGACTGTGGAGTGCTTAACAGACAATGTCGGTACTTACTAGGTAAATACAAAACAAAACCACAATAAGATACCACTTTGCACTCTTTGAGACAGTGAGACTGTCTTAAAAACAAACAAACAAAAACACTACATTTCCCAGGTTTCTTTGCAGCTGGAATCCAGGATACATGACAAGTTCTACCAACCAGATGCAGGGCAACCTGAAAAGCGGAAATGACGTGATACAACTTCCTTGTGCCTTGGCTGTGTTTCTCAAAAAGTGAGAAATCTATCAGTTTCTCAAAAAGTGAGTAAGGGTGAAGGCTTAGGTGGGTCTGGATCTGACTTATCTCTGGTCTCAGAGTTGCCCAGGATGGGGTCCAGCCACGGGAAGTCTCAGGAGATATAACGAAGGGAAAGGCAGGAGCAGTGACGAAGTGGGTGAGTAGGCTGTCAGGCCCTGTCCTATGGCACCAGAGGAAATGCCACCTCCCTTCAAGCAAATCGAATCCACATCTTGCACCCTGGCAGGGATCTCCCACGAAGCAAAGGGAGAGAGGGGTCAGCCGTTCCCACGACCGTGTGTCTCATGGTCCCTGCTCTTTTTCCTTGAATAGGCATCCTCTGCCCATTTCACAGAGAGGAGCAAACCAAGGGGCAGAGTACCCAAGCCCAGACAGGGTCACACATGCCCCATGGGTAGCTCTGGGATTGTACACAAGTCCCTCAAATGACTTACAACAGCACGGACCTAGAAGAAAAGCGAGTGGAGAAGGGCAAAGCGGGTGGAGCCTACCTTCTTGGAGAAGAGGATTTGGGTGGAATCTCCAGCCTCCTCTACAGGAGCCCAGTGCAGGAGGACGTCATTGTCCTAGGAGAAGGAGGGAGGCGGGGTTAGAGGCGCTCCCCAAACCACATTCCCAAAACTTTCCGTTGCAAATTTCCAAACTTTCCCAGTTTCTACCCTCGGCCTTTCAAAGTCCCGCCCCTCATTCCAGTTCCCACCCCCAGCCTTCTTCAGGTCCCACTGCTGACCGCCAGACCAAACTCCTACAGTTGCCGCTTGCATCCCAGAGCGCCTGCATCCCGCTCGGAGCGGGTTCGAGCCCTGCTCCCTCCCAACGCACCTTTTCCACGACACGGATAACACCAGCGATGAGGGAGTCTCGGTCCTGATACTTCTTAGCGCTGGTGTGCAGGTACACTCCGCCCTTCTCAAACACCACCTGAGTTGGGGGGAATCAGCGAGGGCTGGGGCCCAAGAGAAGGCGACCAGCGAGGGCACCGGCCCTGGGAGCCAATAGGGAGGGGCCCAGGGAGGAGCCATCCCCAGGGGGCGGGGCCGGGAGGGCCACTGCCCAGGGACCAAGGCGGGGAGAATGGTCCAGCCCACGTTCGGATGCTGGCGTGCGTTCCACAGAGGGCAGGGCCCAATGAGTCGCCTGAGCCGGGGGGCGGGGCCATGAGAGGTTCTTCCCTGGGGCGGTAGACGGGAGGGTGACGGCGCGTTTATAAGAGATTGGAGTTTCTCAAGTGCACTCGCAAGGCCTGAGGGAAGAGCTGATCACCAGACGGGGCGTTTCGCATACACTGAAGCGAGAGAATGCGTCCTCAGTGCTTACCCTGTAGCCGGCTCCTTCCATAGTCGCCGCCGAAGGCCCCACTGCCCCGCCTCCTCCTTTTCCGAGTCAGCGTGTGGTCACTTCCGGAGAAAATAGTTCCCCTCCGGACCGGACAGTGGTAGCGCCCCGACCAGTTCCAGAGAAAGAGTGGGTGAAACCATTTTTCAGAAGGGGGATATTCCACTGGAACTTCGAGGGTGGATCGGAGTCACGTGGCGCAGACGCTGAAGGTGGAGCCGGCTACGGAGAGTGCGCAGGCGCAGTGTTCTCCCTCTCGCCACGAAGTAAACAAGTGGGAGGGTCTGAGAGCTGCACCACCTGGGGCAAGCACGCCTCGAAACGCCCACTTCCTTCTCCATGTTGTATACTGGAATTGAAGCCAAGGAGGTACCATTTTGCTCGAGGGCATGGCCTAAGCTGGTCGGCTAAAGCCATGTTAATACGGGGGTGTCCCATCTCTCTGCGGGGCGCGACAGCTGGAAGAGCCGAACGGATAAGAGAAGAGGAGGTGAGAGGAGCTGTACACCACAAGAGGCACTGAGGGACTCGGGATAACGGGATGAAGCCGTCAGTGCCCCCAGAAACGAAGCGGCCCCCAACGAATTTCTGAGTCACCGTCGCGAGAAAGCGGGCTGAGCCGCCATTTTGAAGCCTGGCAAACCGAAGCAAGAAATGCTGCCGTGTTGGATCTTTGCCAGCTTTGGTGCTGAATGGGAGCAGGTTGGAGGGAGGGAGAGCCAATGTACACTATGGGCTGATTAGACCGGTTGGCTGCCATGTTGTTAACGAGTACCGATTTCCTCCACTTTTGTCGAAGAAGTTTATCGTGGGTCAGGGACGTCAGGTCGCTTGCCTTCGTTTGCTGTGGTCATGAGCGAGCTTATGAGGACGGCCATTATTGTTGGGGGCAAATGGAAATGCTCTAGGCGAGAAAGCTGAAGCGGTTTTCCGCCATTTTTCTTGTGGGCACGCTGCCGTCGCCATTGCCCACTGGTTCGGATGAAGCCCCTGTGGCCGCCATCTTGATCTCGGGCGGCCCCGATAAGGGAGGCGGAGTGTGCACAGAGGAGGCGGGGCAACTACGCGGACGTGACGCAAGGCGCCGCCATGTCTTTTGAGGGCGGCGACGGCGCCGGGCCGGCCATGCTGGCTACGGGCACGTGAGTGGAGGCGGCGTTGTGAACCGCGGTGTGGGGAGGATTTGGCCGTCCTGAGGCAGCGGGGCGCTGGGAGGGCGAGCGGCTCACGGGAGGGGTATGGCCTGCACAGATCAGAGGGCAGAGGTCCGCCAGCGACCCTTTGCTGAGCGCTGGAAGGGGGTCGCTTGTGGGAATCGTCCTGTCAGACCTGAGGCAAATCCTAGACAGCCTCACCTTGCTGTGTCCAGAGCGCCTGGGATCTCTACTTGGGCCGTGGACCACGTCCACGGGGTCGGGGAATGGCTTGGGGGGCCTCGGGGCGCCCCTCACCCTTCCAAAGGCGGGACTTCCGGTCCTGGCCTCCGCCTGGGCGGGATTTCCTGCTTTCTTCCTAGACCAGTGGGTCCTCCCTGGACCACCGGCGAGGTTGGGAGGTCTCGGGGCAGCTGAGCCTGGCCCCAGGCACTCACCCCACCCGTGGCTACCGCGTTCATGCTCGGGTTCCTCACATCTTTGGGTGCGGGGCCCTAAAATTTCGACAGGAGGGGTGGTTCCACCCTTCTTCTCCTTAGCTCTTACCCTCCTCCCCTCATCCAAAGAGGACAGCCACATCGTGCTCCCCCTCCTGTGGGGAACACGTCTCACTTTCGTCTCATCTCTCCCTGATCTTAAACGAAACTTCTCCATCGGGGCGGGTTCTTCCTCCATCTCTCAGCTCCTTGGAGGAAACAGGACCTCCTCTAGAAGCTCAAGGGTAAGGAGGACCGCCAGGTCTTGGCTACTCTCCTGTTGGCTAACATTACAGGTGCCCCTGGACCTTGGCAGAGAGGCCTGTGGAAGTCGCCCGTCGTTTTTGCTCATGTCTCCTGAGTTGGGGGAACCCTCACAACCCACTCACCCTATTTCACTCTCTTCAATCCCGTGGCTCCTCCAAGATTGAGTACAGGCAGGGAGTTTCATCCTGACGTCCTCCTCCGGGACCCCCGCTCCCCCTCTTCTCCGAATGTCATTAGGGGCTGGGGGCCCATGGAAGTGAGAGCCCCAGGCCTAGCACAGCCAGGCAGTTGACTTTGGACTGGCCACTTCTTGCTTCGAGCCTCAGTTTCTTCCTCCATCAGCTAGGAAGGACATGAGGGGTGTGTTTGAGACACTGGGTACCCCCCAGTTCATTGGGTTTCGGAAGCTGGGCAGCCAGCGGTTTCAGCCCCACTTGTGCCCTGTGTAGCTGTGTGCTTTCTTGCCATGTCCTAAGCTCTCTGAGCCTCACTTTTCCATCTAGATTACAATATCTACCCTCCTAAAGGCAGGCAGGATGGCGGTCAGGATTTAGAGCAGGCCCTGGATCTAGACTGTCAGAGTCCAGGTCCCAGCCCTGCCTCTTCCAGTTGTGGGACCGGACCCTTCAAGATGCTGACTGTCCCTGGGCCTGAGTTTGCAACTGTAAAATGGAGTGAACTGTAACTAAAACTCCTGCCTCATAGCGTAGGTGAAAGGGTGGGATGAGAAGGTTGATCCCATCTTGGGTCGTTGCGTGGCTTCTGGGAAGTGGTGGATAAACCTCTTACTTCCCTCGGGGCTTTGAACTCCCTGAGTGAGTCAGATAGGAGGTGAGATGCCAGGTGTGGAGTCCCAGCACTGAATAGGTGCTCAGCAAACACCGACATCTATGATCGTGAGTCATAAAGGGCCTGCAAATGTCATTCAAACTCCAGACTCCCTGCTCCCTTCACCCTGGTGGGCTGGACCACAGCTGTGCCTGAATCCCTGCAGTGGCAGTGTGCTCATTGCCTCCCCAAGGAGCCTCTTCCACAGCCCAGCAGCTCTGGCTCAACCACTCTGGTTAATGGGGAAGAAAATGAGGCACAGCCGGGCGCGGTGGCTCACGCCTGTAATCCCAGCACTTTGGGAGGCCGAGACGGGCGGATCACGAGGTCAGCAGATCGAGACCATCCTCGCTAACACGGTGAAACCCCGTCTCTACTAAAAATACGAAAAACTAGCCGGGCGTAGTGGCGGGCGCCTGTAGTCCCAGCTACTTGGGAGGCTGAGGCAGGAGAATGGCGAGAACCCGGGAGGCGGAGCTTGCAGTGAGCCGAAATCGCGCCACCGCACTCCAGCCTGGGAGACTGAGCAAGACTCCGTCTCAAAAAAAAAAAAAAAAAAAAAAAAAAGAAAAAAGAAAATGAGGCACAGAGAGGGCCAGTGAGCTGTCCAAGGTCACACAGCAGGTTTGAGACAGAGTCAGGACAAGGACCCGGCCTCCCTACCCTCGCTCTTCTCACCCAGTAAGGAGATGCACCCTGCATTGTCTGCTTAGGGCCAACCTGTCCTGTGAATACAAATCCCCGACCTCGGGAGAATTCACAGTCTGATGCAGGAGGCAGCCAGGGTACAGCTGTCACAAGCTCTGGTGACATGAGTGCTCATGGAGGAAGCCCACAGCATCAGATGGGCTCCGGAAGGCATCTGATGCACCCTGGGGGATGAGGGACGACAGAGGACCTGCCCGAACAGTCTTGTAGGAAAAAGCCACGTGGATTTCCCAGCACAGAGAGCAGCACCAGCACCATTTCTTACCTTTGTTCAGCTCTGACTCTCACTGAGGCCTCAGTCATGGAACCAGCCGGTTCCCTCTGGAAGGAAGTGTGCCGGGAAGGTGGCCACTCAGATGTCGTGGGACACCCCAGGGAGGGGACTGGCTAGATCTAGGGGTGAGGGAAAGTTTCTTCCGCCCTAGGATGAGTGAAAGGTTGGTGGGGAACAGAGCATCCAGGTCAGGGACCACGTTTTCTGAAGGCCTTGGGCCTGAGAGGCTCTGGAAGGCCATGGAGGCAGGATAGCCCAGGAGCTGGCGTTGGCCAGAACACGCAGAGCCTCCAGGGCCAGGCTGAAGGCTGAGACCCTGTCCTGAGGACTATGGCGAGGGGTAGCATCAGCTCTGGGTGCAGAAGGAAGCCCCTGGGCCTTGTGCAGGACACTCTGGATGGGACGGCTGGGCGATGGAGCAGGGTGGCATCACCCATCAGATGCAATGCGAGGCCCATTTGGAGTTCTAAATTTTCTAGACACCATGTTAAAAGAGTAAAAAAAGCAGATGAAATTCTTCTTCTTTGTTTTTTTTTTTTTGAAATAGAGACAGGGTCTCAACATGTTGCCCAGGCTGGCCTCGAACTCCTGGGCTCAGTGATCTGCCTGCCTCGGCCTCCCAAAGTGTTGGGGTTGCAGACCTGAGCCATCGTGCCCGGCTCATTCTGCTTTTTTGTACTCAGTCTTCAGACCCCGGTGCAGGTTTTACTGTGAGAGGCATCTCTGCTGGGACTCCCTGACTTTCCAGTACTCCCTGCTCACGTGGCTGGTGGCTCACACAGAGGCCAGGGCAGGGCCAAAGGGGAAGGAGGAATGGGCTGGGGCAGAGGACGTCGCCAGGGTCTGGGCCTGCAAGGGCTGGATGGTGAGAATCCTGGGGAGTAGGATTTGGGGAGGACACGCAGCACCGCAGGGACAAGGTGGGTGGAGGGGGGTGAGTGCCATCCACAGGACGGGCAGACACCCTGAGTGGGTGGCAATGGTGTAAGCAGCCAAGCCTCAGCCCCTCTGTCGTGCTCTGGCCCGCAGGGCGCGGATGGCGTCGGGGCGCCCCGAGGAGCTGTGGGAGGCCGTGGTGGGGGCCGCTGAGCGCTTCCGGGCCCGGACTGGCACGGAGCTGGTGCTGCTGACCGCAGCCCCGCCGCCACCACCCCGCCCAGGCCCCTGTGCCTACGCTGCCCATGGCCGAGGAGCCCTGGCGGAGGCAGCGCGCCGCTGCCTCCACGACATCGCGCTGGCCCACAGGGCTGCCGCTGCTGCTCGGCCTCCTGCGCCCCCACCAGCACCACAGCCACCCAGCCCCACGCCCAGCCCACCCCGGCCTACCCTGGCCAGGGAGGACAACGAGGAGGAAGAGGATGAGCCTACAGAGACAGAGACCTCTGGGGAGCAGCTGGGCGTCAGTGATAATGGAGGTGAGAGGGCAGGGGCAGGAGCTGATGCGGCCCAGTGCTTGATGAGGTGCCTGCAGGAGGCTTTGTGGGGGTGACCTGCTTAGTCCTGAGTACGTCCACGCAAGTGCAGTCTCAGGACCCCAGAGCCAGACAGGCTTGCCTGGGGCTTGCTGTGTGATCTAAAGCCAGTCCCTTCCCTGCTCTGAGCCAGCTCTGTGCTGGGAGTGGTGAGCACAGGGACACACAGCAGGCTCGGGCTTTTTTCTCAAGGGCCTCCCGGTGTAGCCAAGGAATTGGAGTCCCAGTGTGGGGTCGGGAGGCTCTGGAGCAGGACATGGGTAGAACCAGAGTTGTTTCCACAAGGCCTGGGAGGCCACGATAGGAATTAAAGAGTTGTCCAGGATGCAGCCAACATCTGAGGAAGCCAGGGAGGCAGCAAGCAACTGTTTTGGGGGGGAATTTGGGGGTTGGGCATTTCCCGGAGGCTGGGCTGTAACTAGGGCTTTGAGGAGTTAGTAGGAGTTTGATCAGTAACTAGGAGGTCTTCGTTTGTTGTTATTACAAATGGCCAGCCTGCTCACCTTGCTAGAGAAAACCTGCATAGGGTGAAGGGCAGGCATCCTGAGTTCAAATCCTGGTGGTATCCCTTAGTAGCCATGGGACCTCGGGCAAGTGACTTAACCTCTCTGGGCCTCCAGGTCTCCATTTGTGAAACAGAGGTCATAGTCATCCCATATTTCTCTCAGGCTGCATTTTGAGTCACATTGTCCCAAACAGATCATAGAGGTTTCACGTTAGCAGCGCGTTGTGTGCAGCTGAGAAGGTGACAGATCCATAGAAACAGTGTGTTTCTGCCGATGACCAGGCAGGCTGCTAGAGGAAGCGGTTTTTGAGGTGAAGGAAGAGGGTCTCAGAAGCCTCAGGGAGGTGGAGGTGGTGGCTGTGGCGGTGGCCGTGGCTGAGGAGGAGGGCACACGGAGCATGGCTAGGGCCTCTAACTGGCCCGGGCCTCTAACTCACGCCGTCCACAGGGCTCTTCGTGATGGATGAGGACGCCACTCTCCAGGACCTTCCTCCCTTCTGTGAGTCGGACCCCGAGAGTACAGACGGTGAGTGTCCCAGGCTGTTCCCCTCCCTACCTGGGGGCAGGCGGCTGGCACAAAGGCAGTGACAGAAGCTGAAATCCACCCTCTCTTTCAGATGGCAGCCTGAGCGAGGAGACCCCTGCTGGCCCCCCAACCTGCTCAGTGCCCCCGGCCTCAGCCCTACCCACACAGCAGTACGCCAAGTCCCTGCCTGTGTCTGTGCCCGTCTGGGGCTTCAAGGAGAAGAGGACAGAGGCGCGGTCATCAGATGAGGAGAATGGGCCGGTGAGGGGCAAATGTGGGGAGGTAGGGAGGGCAGCTGGAAGGGCTCTGAGCCGCCTCCTCCAGGAAGCCCTCCGGCGTGGATGCCACTTTCCACTCATAAGCTAACTGAATCCTCCCCTCAACCTCAAGAGGCGAGTTCTTGGACCTGAGCCTTGCAGTTTTAACAATTGCAGCCTTACCACGTGTCCTAGTACCTTATAGAGAAGGCCTCTCCTTTCCAGGAGCACCTCTATAGAACACCTGCTCTGGGCAAGGCACAGGTATTTTGGCATGCCCTCTAGTGGGGAAACTGAGGCTTGGAGGGTTTAGGTCACCTCCCATCCCCACCCCGCACATTCCTGGCCCTTTGCAGAATTTGTCCCACCCCCTGGTCCCCTGTTCATCCCTTGTAGTGACCCCTGTTTGAAGCTCCTGGGCTGGGCTGGCCTTCACTGAGCCTTCCTGAAGCAGAGGGGAAACTGAGGCACTGAGGGGACATGTTACTTCCCTGAGAGGCAGAGCTGGGGCTGGAACCCAGCTGCGTTTCAGGAAGGAGCTGTGGGCTTTGAGGGAGGAGGCCTGGGTCCCCACAGTTCCCCCTCAGGCCTCAGTGTCCTCATGTGCAAACCAGCAGTCACAGTGGTGACCTCTTCTGTGCATCTTCCCTCAATGAGGCAGTGAGCGCTGAAGACCAGAAACAGGGCCTGGTGCAGCCAGGGTCCTCCTGCTGCTGATCTCTGTGCTGGCGACTCATGGCAACACAGTTCATTGAACGCTCTGGCCTCCAGAGTGCTGTGCCCAGGAGCTGGTCTCCCACTGGGCTCAGATCCAGTTCCTGATCTGGGTCTCCGGGTCCCATCCTGCGAGGGGACAGGCCCAGCTCAGGGTGACGGGGGCTGTAGTAGAGGCAGTACTAGGTGCCGGAGCTGCAGGCAGAATGACAGGACCGCTCCTTGGTGGGGGCTGACACAGGGAGGGATCTTTTCTGTAGCGCAACGGCCACATGATAAAGCAGTAACAGCTGATTATCTCAGTCCTCACAGAGACCCTGTTATCCGCTCCCATTTTTCAGAAGGGGATACTGAGGCTTAGGGAAGCAAAACCTCTTGCTCACAGCTAGTCAGCAGTAGAGGTCTGATTGGAACATGACTGAACCCCAGCCCAGATCCTCAAACTTGAGAGGGTGCACGCAGCCTTAATGGATAGCAGACAACAGCACTTCCATGTGTAGGAAGCAATGTCCCAGGCCAAGAAGGGGAGGGAGAGGGGCAGGAAGGCTTCGTGGAGGAGGTGTCTGAACTGGGTAGAACGGTTCCTACGCGGAGCAAGACGGGAAGGGCATTGCTGGCAGTGGGCATCGCAGGGCACAACTGGCAGGGCGGGGACGTGCTAGGAGTGGGCTTGGAGCCAGGGTGCACCCCTGGGCTGCGTGTGGGTGCAGGGGGCGTGCCCTGCCGGGGCTGACCTTGCCCCGTTGTCGTCCCCCCCGCAGCCCTCTTCGCCCGACCTGGACCGTATCGCGGCAAGCATGCGCGCGCTGGTGCTGAGAGAAGCCGAGGACACCCAGGTCTTCGGGGACCTGCCACGGCCGCGGCTTAACACCAGCGACTTCCAGAAGCTGAAGCGGAAATACTGAGGCCCAGGGAGGGAGCGTCCCGGGCCGCATCCGCCCCGTCCCACACTACGCCCCCGCCCCACTCGCGGGGCCCGCCAATCTGAGGCCGATCCGGGGCCCGCCTCCTTGCGTCTCCCGTTCCCAGGATTGAGCCGCCTCTGCCAATCCACGTCGCCCTTCCAGCCCATGACCTCCCGCGCCGAGGAGCGGGATCTGTCCCGTTTCCCGATTGGATCTGTCGCTTCTCTCCGCCTAGCGACAGATTTATTTTATTAAGGGATTGGCTCGCTCAGTTCTAAGCTCTAAATGGGTCAATTCCGTTGTTTTTCGCCTAGCGACAAGGGATTTGCTCGCACGTCATTGGTTCCATCCCCTAGTCGCTGGGCAGCTCTTATTTTTGATTGGCTCGAATTCTTTAAAGGGCTTGACCAGTCTCCGCATAGTCATCGTCCGCTTTTCCTGAGTTCTCCCTCCTGATTGGCTCCTGCTTCCTGTGGGGGCGTGGCCAAGCCCTCCTGTTCCCAGAATTGGCCTGGGGCCTTCAATTTACATTCTTTACACTACGGGGGCTGGGGTCGTTGCCTCTGGCACCCCCTTTCATTGGTTCCATCCATCCCCACAACAGCCTGCCAATCGAAGTCCGTCCCTGCATCCAGGATGGTACCAGCTCCCGTCCCTCGCCCCCCACCTCCACAGGTGCCTTAAAGGGCCCTCGTCCACCCAAGGTGGGGGGCAGGGGCCCTCACTCTCCGGCCCTGGTGTAGGGGAGAGAGTGAGGGGTTGGGGGATTGGCAGTTGGGAAGGGCGCTCTGAGATTAAAGAGTTTTACCTCTGACAGATAAATGTGAGGTGTGTTGTGAGTGTTCATTCAACATTTTCTGAAACCGAATGGCAACGTCTGATTATCAGTGAACAGCTGGGGGTTGGAATGACTGTGTCCATTTTATTTATTTATTTTTGAGACAGGGTCCCACTCTCGCCCAGGTTCAAGTGATTCCCACTCTCGCCCAGGTTCAAGTGATTCTCCTGCCTCAACCTCCCGAGTAGCTGGGATTACGCGCCACTGCCGTCCGGATAATTTTTGTATTTTCAGTAGAAACAGGGTTTCAACATGTTGGCCAGGCTGGTCTCGAACTCCTGACTTCAAATGATCTACCCGCCTCGGCCTCCCAAAGTGCTGGGATTACAGGAGTCAGCCACCGCGCCTGGCTCTGTGCCCATTTTATACATATGAAGACAAGAGGTTCATGGGGTGGAGGAGAGCATTCCAGTCTTGTGTGACCATGGACCCCAATCTTGGGGTGATAGTTGGAGCCAGAGGCCACATATTCACCAGCAAAGCCAGGAACTCCAGCAGGGAGTCTTCTATTATAAAAGGACTGGAGCAGCTGGGCTTGGTGCCTCACGCCTATAAGGCCAACACGCTGGGAGGCTGAGGCGGGAGGATCACAGGACGCCAGGAGGTCGAGATCAGCCTGGGCAGCACAGTGAGACCCCTTCTCCAAAAAAAAAAAAAAAAAATGGCTGGAGGTTAGAAAGCAGGTGGAAACCACCTTCGAAATTAGAACCAGGTAAACGTAATCTCCCACCAGACCACTACCGGAAGAATGCTAACACTAAATAAGATTTAAACAGGGCTTGCTACCACCCAAAGATTTTTTAAAGCTTTTGTGACGTGTTAGCGCCTTTAATCGTCATGGTAACCCCACGAAGTGGAAAGGATCATCCGCTTTATAGATGAGGAAACTAGAACATGGAGGGTAAAACCAAAGAAGGATTTAGGGGCGCTGTCGTGGGCGGAGGTTTCCTTGACTGACAATGACCATCAGATGGGGAAAAAAGCTTCCTCCATGGGATGAAAATTGGAAGTCCAGTTAGAAAGAGGCAAATCTGCTAACGGAGGATCCAGTCCCCGCTACCGGTCTGAGCCTCGCGTTGCAGCAAGACGTGAAGGTCAGGGCTGTGGAGGGACCCTAGGGGCAGTGGGTCGGACAAGGGGCGTGGCTGCTGTGGGAGGAACCCAGGCCCCGCCCCCCTCGAGGGCACGAGTCATTTCCGTCCGACGAGGAACTGAGCGCCGCCGGCCGTGTTGCAAGCGGGGCGCCTCGGGCAGGACCTCCCTGGTCGGAAGTGGCCGTGAGCCAGAGCAGCGGTCCCGGGTGAGTACAGGGCGGGGCGGGGGCATGTGCGAGGCTATCTACCTGTGCCTTGGGAAGTAGGGATTCCAACTCGCGGGGATGGAGCACGCGTCGTCGCCTGGGAAACGGCGCGACCCGCGGCAGGCGAAGGGGTGGGACTTCCGGAGCAGTTAATGATGGGGAAAGTTCTAGTGGAGGTGGGAGGAAGTGGGACTTCCTGTAGCAAACCGGAGCCGTGCGCCACTCAAGCCCGTTTACCTGCTCCCCAGGCTGGCACCCAGGATGGGCGAGGTGGAAGCCCCGGGCCGCTTGTGGCTCGAGAGCCCCCCTGGGGGAGCGCCTCCCATCTTCCTGCCCTCGGACGGGCAAGCCCTGGTCCTGGGCAGGGGACCCCTGACCCAGGTCACGGACCGGAAGTGCTCCAGAACTCAAGGTGGGCGGGGCCTGAGCTGGAGGGGGTGTGGCCTGTTGCAAAAGTGAGAACAATCCAGAGGGACGCTTGGCTGCTACGCGGGATTGCGTGGTGCCGGCAGCCCAGAAGTCAGAAGGTGCTCTCTAGGGCGCACAGGAAGAGAAAGTTTGTGCTTGATTTAGAATTAGCTAGATCCTTTGGGGGAGAGGGGATCGAGCCAATTTCGGGAGGATGTTCACTGCGCGGATGATACTCAGGCCATCTGGAAATCCAGAAACAGGCGACGACCCTTGTCAAGAGAAAAATTATCCTATGGAGAAAAGTAAATGTCACCAGGTTGGGATGGATGGTAACAGGCCAAGTCCCGGACCTGTATCTAGCCACATTTTTTGTAAAGGAGGAAACTAATTCTATAGAGAAAAGTACCTCCCTGTCCCTTACAAGGAAGGACCAGTGTCAGGCAACCCTAGTGCCACCATCTGGCTACTACATGTCAAGGAGCCAATCCCGTGTAGAAATAAACTGCCTCTGACTCCCTCCGGAATGGATGCTATAGCCTGAAGCAGGCCACACTCCCCAGAAATGAGGGAACCAATCACACAAGGATGCAAATCCTGACTCCATCCCTCCTATCCTCAGTGGAGCTGGTCGCAGATCCTGAGACCCGGACAGTGGCAGTGAAACAGGTATCAGTGCCTCTGCAAGGGGCAGCAAGGCCTGGGGATGGGATTTGGGGAGGAATTGCAAGCCATCAGTGAAGTGGTACATTAGGAAAATCTGATTGGGGCCGGGCGTTGTGGCTCAAGCCTGTAATCCCAGCACTTTGGGAGGCCGAGGCGGGCAGATCGCTTGAACCCAGGAGTTCGAGACCAGCCTGAGCGACATGGTGAAACCTGTCTCTATAAAAAATTAGCGGGGATGGTGGCGCGTCCTTGTAGTTCCAGCTAATTGGGAGGATCCCTTGAGCCCAGTAGGTCTAGGGTGCAGTGAGCAGTGATCACCACACTGTACTTCAGCCTGGGTGACAGCGAGAACCTGCCTCAAAAAAGAAAAGAAAAAATATGGCTAGGAGAGAAGGGGGTGTGTCCAGTAAAGAAAGAAGTGTTGCCTGTTTCAGTGGGGTGGATACCTGTCCAAGCCCTTGGAAATTGGACAAGGCGGCCAGGCGCAGTGGCTCACGCCTGTAATCCCAGCACTTTGGAAGGCTTAGGCGGGCGAATCACCTGAGATCAGGAGTTTGTGACCAGCCTGGCCAACATGGCGAAAACCCATCTCTACTAAAAATACAAAAATTAGCCGGGCATGGTGGCGGGTGCCTGTAATCCCAGCTACTTGGGTGGCTGAGGCAGGAGAATCGTTTGAACGCGGGAGGCAGAGGTTGCAGTGATCCGAGATTGCACCACTGCACTCCAGCCTGGGCGACAAAACAAGATTCTGTCTAAAGAAAGGGAGGGAGGGAGAGAGGAAAGGGAAACGAAGGAAAGGAAGGACGGACGGAAGGAAGGAAGGAAGGAAGAAATTGGATAAGGCTGAAAACCCTTAACCGTTCCAAAGCCCGTTGGAAAGTGAAGCGGTGAGGCCTAAGGATCTGATTAGTGGTGAAAAGCAGATCTTTCCGCTCGGTTGTTGATTGGAGGAGGCTCCCGGTGGGGGCGGAGCCAGTCTCAGCTCCTCCCTCTCTTTCTGCAGCTGGGAGTTAACCCCTCAACTGCCGGGACCCAGGAGTTGAAGCCGGGGTTGGAGGGCTCTCTGGGGGTGGGGGACACACTGTATTTGGTCAATGGCCTCCACCCACTGACCCTGCGCTGGGAAGAGATGCGCACACCAGAATCCCAGTCAGATACTCCACCTGGCACCCCTCCGGTGTCCCAAGACGAGAAGAGAGATTCTGAGCCTCCCAAGAAGCGTATGCGGAAGTCAAACCCCGGCTGGGAGAACCTGGAGAAGCTGCTAGTGTTCACCGCAGCTGGGGTGAAACCCCAGGGCAAGGTGAGGACTACGCCGAGGGCTGAGGGAGCCGCCACAGACTGGGACCCAATCCCAGGTTTGTTGTGTGCTCTCTCAACTTCTTTTTAGCCTCTGTTTAATTTTCTGAGAAATGGGCCTAATGATAAACGCAGGGTTCGTTGTAAGCAGTGGGGAAAATGATGTATGTCAGTTCCTGCATGTCCCACGGTGACCACCCAGTCATCAGCAATGACCATGACCGTCTCAGTAGGAGCTATTATGATGAGTATTATTTAGGTCCAGAGAGACTTGAGTTCAAATGCTGTTACCACCACATTCTGAGTCCCGTGTCTCTCGTCTCTACGATGCTGAATCCATAAAAAGCACGTGGCATAGTCCCTGACGTGCAGTTAGCACCCAAAGCTTTGCTCCTGTTTTTATTTTCACGATTAGCAGCCCACCAAGGTGGAGAAGGCCAGGGGAGGAAGGAGGCTGGGTAAGACATTAACCCCCATTTTAAAGACTGTAATCCTGGGGCCGGGGTCATAAGGAGTTAACAGGAGACAGTAAGGTTAAGATGTCGGGCCGCACTCAGAGGCTTCATGGATGCTTGACATGGAGGTGTTCTGTGACTCGGTTTCCCCATCTGTGAGATGGCAGGGTTGGTGTGAGTCAGCCTGTGAGTGGAGAGGATCAGAGGTATCACAGTGCTGCTGTTCCTCTTTCCTTGGTGACACCAGGTGGCTGGCTTTGATCTGGACGGGACCCTCATCACCACACGCTCTGGGAAGGTCTTTCCCACTGGCCCCAGTGACTGGAGGTGATAAGAGGCAAAACAAGGGAGTGAGTGAGGCCTGGAGTCCACCTCTGGCCCCGGGTCACCCCTCCCGCTTCCTACCTGCCCTAGGATCTTGTACCCAGAGATTCCGCGTAAGCTCCGGGAGCTAGAAGCCGAGGGCTACAAGGTATGTGCAGCCACCTGTCTGCATGGGCGCGTGCAGGTGGCGGTCCAACCTCAGGTCAGACCAAGGTCCTGGTGAGCAGGCGCCTCATGACACTCTCTGCTCCCCAGCTGGTGATCTTCACCAACCAGATGAGCATCGGGCGCGGGAAGCTGCCAGCCGAAGAGTTCAAGGCCAAGGTGGAGGCTGTGGTGGAGAAGCTGGGGGTCCCCTTCCAGGTATGGCTGGAAGGGAGGCTGGGAGCTATGTGGGGGCACAGAGATCCAGAGAGAGGGTTTCAGACTCCAGGGTAAGTGGGGCAGAGGCCTCAGGCGGTGTGATGCTGATAGGAACCCATCATCAGCTACAAATTCTGTAGCTCTGCTTGGCTGGGTGAGGGCTGGGGTAGCATCCAGTAGGTGCTTGAGGGGGAGCTGAGGCTGGTGGCCCCCTCCCATCCACAGGTGCTGGTGGCCACGCACGCAGGCTTGTACCGGAAGCCAGTGACAGGCATGTGGGACCATCTGCAGGAGCAGGTGAGTCTCACAGTCTGCCCGGCTTCCCTCCTTTTCCTCGCTCCAGCCCCTCACTCCTGGGCTCCCCGCTCTCCGGCCAGGTCCGGGCCTCCTTACTCCTCCTGTCCTCCCTCGGACCTGCCTTCTGTTTTTTTGCTGTCACATCTTAGATGTTGGTTTACGAGACCAATGCTCTTAAACTTTCTAAATCAGAGTAGTAGAGAGAGAAGCTGTTCATTCCTTCCTTCATTCGTTTGTATGTGCATTTGTTCTGAAGTTTAGCGCATTCTTGAGCTGAAGATAGCAGTGAGCGGGACAGCCTGCTCCAGCGGGGCCCGCACGGCGAGCGCCATGACTCTGGGCAGATGGGCAGATTGGCGTGTAAAACAGCGGGAGGGAGGGAGGTGGAGAAAGCAGGCATCATTTCAGCTGTTGGGCACGGATGGCCTCTGAGGAGGTGACATCCGAGGAAAAGGCCTAAGACAGAGGAAGGAGGGAGCCACGTGGACACCTGGGGAAAGTGGATCCCCCCCCCTTACAGGAGTGACAGCAAGTGCAAAGGCCCTGAGGCAGCCCCTAGCCTGGGCTAGTTAGGGACAGGGAGGCCCATGCGGCTGGCCCTAAGCGAGGGAGGGGAGAGGGCAGGGCCACAGGGAGGGCCCCGCTTTTGCCCTGAGGGAGGGGGAGCCTGGGAGGCGCCGGCCCCCAGGAGGCTGGAGCTGAGGCAGAGCGGGCGCCCTCTGGTGGCCGCGTGGGGAACCGGCGGAGGCGGAAGCTGGGAGGCCTGGAGGGAGGGGGCTGCGTGGAGACCACAGGGCCAGGAGCACGGTGCAAAGTGGCTGGATGGTGGGGACATGAAAAGTTGGAGGATGAGGCCTGATGCGCGGCATAGACCAGGCGAGGCAGCCCCAGGGACCCGCTACTGCTGCGGCGGGACAGTTATGGGAAGGGCCTCCTCACTGCCATCTCCCGCAGGCCAACGAGGGCACGCCCATCTCCATCCGGGACAGCATCTTTGTGGGAGGTAAGGGCCTGGAAGCTGCTGAGGGTGGGCTGGGACCCCTCCCTCCGAGCTGGTGGGGACAGTGTGTCCCGTGTGTTCCAGACGCAGCCGGACGCCCGGCCAACTGGGCCCCAGGGCGGAAGAAGAAAGACTTCTCCTGCGCAGATCGCCTGGTGAGGCCCCTGCCCGTTGCCCCGCGCCCGAGCCCGACCCAGGCCTGTGTCTGATGTCCGTTCTCAACCCCTAGTTTGCCCTCAACCTTGGCCTGCCCTTCGCCACGCCTGAGGAGTTCTTCCTGAAGTGGCCAGTAGCCGGCTTTGAGCTCCCAGCCTTTGACCCGGTGAGGCCCTGGGGTGGGAGCGGGAGCGGGAGGGCTCCCGGAGACGGGGACAGCGTCTCACGCGTGTGCCCCTCCCCTCGCAGAGGACTCTCTGCCGCTCAGGACCTCTCTGCCTCCCCGAGTCCAGGGCCCTCCTGAGCTCTAGCCCAGAGGTGGTGGTCGCCGTGGGATTCCCTGGGGGTGAGTGCCCTGCCCCTGTGCCCTGAGCCCCTCCGGGGTCCTAGACCACCCACCGACACTGCCCCCCACACAGCCGGGAAGTCCACCTTTCTCAAGAAGCACCTGGTGTCGGCCGGATACGTCCATGTGAACAGGGTATGACTAGGCTTTGGCCGCCCCGAATCTATTCAGTTCCCATCTCCACCGCTCAACTGGTTTGGGGCGGCTTCCCTCCATCACTGCCTCCCCGACCCCGCTCTGGGTCTTCTCTCCCCTCGGGTCTCCGGATCCGTTTGTGACCTCTCGTGTCCCCAGGACACGCTAGGCTCCTGGCAGCGCTGTGTGACCGCGTGTGAGACAGCCCTGAAGCAAGGGAAACGGGTCGCCATCGACAACACAAACCCGGACTCCGCGAGCCGCGCCAGGTAGCGGGAAGCCTGCGGTAGGGTGGGCGGGGCCTGCGGCGGGGTGGGCGGGGCCTGCACATCCAGCTCCTTCCCCCACAGGTACGTCCAGTGCGCCCGAGCCGCGGGCTTCCCCTGCCGCTGCTTCCTCTTCACCGCCACTCTGGAGCAGGCGCGCCACAACAACCGGGTGAGCCCGCTAGGCCCGGTCACCCCCCGGGGATGCACCCCGACCCCCCTCCTCACCCCCAGGTGCCCCCTCCCTCCCCTGACCCCTGGGCCTTTCGCCCCTTCTGATATCCCCACAGTTTCGAGAGATGACGGACTCCTCTCACGTCCCCGTATCAGACATGGTCATGTATGGCTACAGGTACTGTTGGGGATGGCAGGGGGGAGGGGCGCTGGCTGGGCCACATGAGCCAGGCTGTCCCTCACTGTTCCCACCACTGCCAGGAAGCAGTTCGAGGCCCCGACGCTGGCCGAAGGCTTCTCTGCCATCCTGGAGATCCCGTTCCGGCTGTGCCTGGAGCCGAGGCTGGAGCGGCTGTACTGCCAGTTCTCCGAGGGCTGAGCCCCGCCCAGCTCCCCTCCACAATAAATGCTGTTTCTCCTTGAGCTTGGCCGGCATTTTGCTGGGAGCAGGGGCTCCAGGCCTGGCAGTTTTTTACATGGATGGAGGCTTTAGGGACATTTTCCGGTAACAGAAGGTGGGGCCTTACAGAAGGGATTCCAGCTTTGCTGGGACCTGGCATGGGCATGTTAGACATTAGCCAGGGAACGCACAGGGCAGGGTGCTGCCTGGCTGCCTGAGAGCCAGCTGGTGAGCCCACAAGCTCCAACCCAGGGACTTGCTCAAGGCCAGGTGTGACCCCTGAACTTGAACCCAGGGCCTGTGGATCTGGAAATTGCTGGGGAAGAGGGTGTGGGCAGCCGAGAGCCAGACCCAGTGAGTATCCAGGCTGTCCGGGCCTGCTGGGCCACCTTATGGCTAGGGGGCTGCCAGGCATGGGGCAGTGAGCAGAGGGGCAGGCAGGTTTTTAAAAGGCTTTATTAGGGAAACGTAGAGGGGTGGGGACCATCCTTGGAGGCCTCAGGACACCATCCTCCATGTTGCTGGGCAGTTGAAGTCCCCAGGGGCCCCTGTTCAGAAGCATGTCACCTGGGGGCAGGGGTGCAGTGGGGGCTGCTGGCCACAGGCTCCCAAGCACTGATCCACATCCCTGTGGGCAGAGGCCCGGCCCCACCCAGGCCTGGACACTGCACCTCCCATGGCCCTGCAGCCGGGATACAGTTTCCCAGATAGCCTAGGACTGCCAGGACTGCTGCCTCGCCCTCTGCTCTGGTCACCCCAAGGCCAAGGTTGCCCTGCTTCTTTCCCAACCGCACCCGTGCCCCCCCAATGCCCCAGGGTCCCTCCTGTACATGACAGGGTCACCACTCACCAGTCTCTGCCGAGGCCTCATCTGTGACTCTGGAGGGGCCCAGCCCAGGGTGGCCACTACCCCCCCATCTGTGGGAGGAATCAGAGGCCAGTGGTGAGCAGGCAGGAGGGGTGGGGGGGAGGCTGAGCAGCCCTGGGGCCCGGCTGCCTCACCCCTCGTTGCTGCTGCTCCTGCTCCAGGTTCCGCTGCAGGACCTGCTGCTGGTTGGCAATGACACGCCGGATGCCGTTGACAAAGTTGCCCTGGTCGTGGGGGATGAGGCCGATGAAGATTTTCTTCTCCGAAGAATACAGGAGCATAAGCACGCGGATCTCACACGATGCTTTGTAGGAAAAGTGCACGCAGCCAGCCTGGCGGGCACAGGGTGTGGTGTCAGTAGACAGCACCACAGGGACTCAGGCCGCAGGGACGAGCATCCCTCCAACCACGGCACCACGCCAAGGGCTCGATGAGCCAGACACAGCCTAACTGCTCTGTCCTCCCACCTCCCCACCCGTCCCGGAGGTGGGCCCCCTTATTAGGATGACACGGTGGCCAAGAGCAACGGGTGGGTCAAAGGCCAACAGGCTCTTTTGGGAAGGGCCCAAGAACTTGCATTTCAGAGCTTCTGGGCAGGCCAGGCTGTGTCTGGGGCCAGCTCACCACAGCCTCCTGAGCCAACTGGCCATGGCTTCAACTCGGGAGCCCGAGGGATCGGCAGCAGCTGGCCCAGCACAGGTGAGGGCAGAGGTACATGCAGCCTTTATGCACTTCCCTGAGGAAACTATTTTGTGTGTGTGTGTAAGACTGTTTCACTCCTGTTGCCCAGGCTGGAGTGCAATGGCGTGATCTCAGCTCACTGCAACCTCCACCTCCTGGGTTCAAGCCATTCTTGTGACTCAGCCTCCGGAGTAGCCATCATGGCCAGCTAATTTTTGTATTTTTAATAAAGACAGGGTTTCACCACGTTGGCCAGGCTGGTCTCAAACTCCCGACCTCAGGTGATCCACCCTCGGCCTCCCAAAGTGCTGGGATTACAGACATGAGCCACCGCGCCTGGCGTGAGGGAACTCTTGCAATTGCTTTAATGTAAAAGCATCTACACCCAGGCCCCGTCACCCACTAACAGCTTTGTGGACAGTTTACTCAGACTAAGGCGAAGGTAATTTTAAGGTAGTTTCAGGACAGATGTTACCTAAGTACGGCCCAGCTGGAAGGTGGACACCAGGGGAGAGGGCGCAGAAGCACCAAAGTCCAACCCTCCCCACCTCACAGATGGAGAAACTGAGC